GCGACCATTTCCCCATTTTCATTGCGCTAGCCATGCCATTTTGCTCTGATGTAACTCTACCTATTCCCAAATACAAAACCGACCTAGCCAACTGGGAAAAGTTTAGTAAAATCTGCGCTGAACTTGAAGCAAGATGGGCTCCTGGTTGCTTAAACCACCAGGTCGCTCTTCTCTCCAAAAGTATTAGAGCTGCTGCCAACTCCTCCATCCCTCAAACAAAGCGCATCCCGCATAAAGCAAAAATCCCCTGGTGGAACCCCCAGCTACAGAAGCTTAGGGACTCCAAACAAAGACTTTTCCATATTTTCAAATCCCAAATGTCCACATCTAACCTCTTAAACTACAAAAGAGCTAATGCCCTTTTCAAGAAGACAGTGCTTCTCGTAAAGCGCAAAGCTTTCGAAAACTTCACCTCCCGAATCTCCCCAGCCTCCTCCTGTAAAAAGATATGGTCAGACATTAAACGCCTCTCTGGGTCCCCCCCAGTGATCATCAAATGCATCAAATCAGACAACAGCTTATTGACTGATTCCCTAGCCATTTCTGAAAAATTCAGCGAAGTCTGGTCCAAATATGGTGCGGATGATAACTTTAGCAGCGAATACATAGCCCGTAAAGATTCCTACCTTTCCTCATCCTACAATCCCACTGCCTTATCACCAACAGCAAAATCTCTGGATTCTCCTTTTAACATGTTTGAGTTCGAAACGGCCCTTCATGCAGCCGTAGGTAAAACTCCCGGTGCCGATAGAATCTCCTATCCCATGTTAAGGCACACCCCACAAAGCCTTAAACAACGTATCCTGGACGTTTACAACTCCATGCTGTCCACAGGCAGTTACCCTCACACATGGAGATCCTCCACAGTCATTCCCATTCCTAAGCCAAACAAAAATCCATCCTCAATAAACGGGTTTCGCCCTATATCATTAATCCCTTGTCTCAGCAAAATAATCGAGAAAATGATGGCCCGCCGACTTATGTGGTACATCAATCGTCACAACCTGTTAAACGGCAACCAGGCAACCTCTGGACCGGCAAACGTGTCCAACGGAATCCCTCAAGGGTCGCCTCTATCTGTTGTCCTCTTCATCATTGCCTTCGACGAAATCAACAACTCTCTGGCTAGATACAAGGAAATAAGAATATCTTTATACGCAGACGACGCCATAATCTATACCAAAGCTAAAAATCTAAGTAACGTAAAAAACATATTCATTAATGTTCTTCAAGATTTAGAAACCTGGGGTTTACACTCTGGTGCTTCTCTTTCCATTGATAAATGCCACACTCAGCACATTTGCCGCAAAATCCACTGTTGCTTCCCAACTTTGGAATTCAACAACAAGGCTATCCATCCTGTTCCAAACTTAAAAATACTTGGGATCACTTTTGATTCCAGGCTTAGCTTTAAGGAACACTGTATTATATTAAGAAAACAACTCGAATCCCGAGCTAACATAATCAAATTTCTCAGCTCCAAATTCTCACACATACACCCTAATACTCTAACCAACCTAACCCGTACCCTCATCCTTTCCAAAATTGATTACGGCCTACCTATCTACGGCTGGTGCGCAACATCCAACTTGAAGAAAATCCAACCTCTATATTACTCATCAGCTCGTCGTTCAATTAATGCATTCCCAACATCTCCAATACAGTGCGTTCTGGCTGAAACAGGATTACCAAGCATTCTCGATCGTTTAGAAAGGACCACAAAGAACCTTATTCCAAAGCTACTCACTAGCCCTAACCGATCGCTAGTAAAAGATTTTATATCTACTTTTAAGAAAAAACGGAAGCCCAGAGTTCTCTCAACTCTTCATAGATGCTCCAGCTTCACGGATTTGCTGGGCCTACCACCGCCCAAACAAAAAACAAACACCTACCTCCTCCCACCTTGGAAACACATATCTTCTGAAATAAACAAGCAGCTACATCACTACACTAAAAGGGAAACACCTAAAGAAGTCTTCCAATCAGAATTCGCACTTCTGAAAAGCCAATTAGGCCAAAGGAACTGGCTTTATTTCGACGGCTCTAAAACAACGCGGACATCATCATTCGCTGTTGTGAACAGTGACAACGTCATTTTATCCGGCGGAACCCTTCCGAGCTTCAGCTCCATATTTACCATCGAGGCCTTTGCTGTTCTACAGGCCTGCCGATTCGCTTCCAACTCCAAAGGGAAATTTGTCATCTGCTCGGATAGCCTCTGTACTATTTCTGCTCTCGAGAACCACAGGCACCCTGACCCAACAATACGTGATATACAGAAGTTAATCGCCAAATACAAAACAAAAATAAGTATTGTCTGGGCTCCTAGCCACCAGGGAATTCTCGGAAACGAGCATGCCGACTTGGCTGCCCGATACGTGAGCAGGGCACCAACTCTTCAGTTTTTGCCCATTAATACCAATGACATCAAAAGGCTGATAAAAATTGATACCGATCAAAAACAACTTATGAATTGGAATGCCTATAACCACAGATATAAATCGATAAATCCATCCCGCCAAAAAACCTCATTTTCTACTGGACTCAACAAATACGAACGCACTCTATACACCCGGCTACGCATAGGACACACCCAGGAAACTCACGAACACCTTCTACAAGGCTGCACTCGTCCGGCATGCCGGTTCTGCGGTGGTAACCTTTCCATAGATCACTTGCTTGACTCTTGCCCGGTAGTTGAACACGCGTAACTCAATTTTTGGAACATCCCTCCCATCTTCCCTCCTTTTATCCCCTAAAAAACCTAATATACAAAAATTACACGAATTCTTTAGCAAAATACAACTCCGACTGTAAAATAATATAATACTATTAAATATCTTTATATCAGGCCGAAGGACTTAATATCCAGTGCCTTACATTACATTAACTTTAGTATTAAATACTAGATTTAATTTGTTAAAATAAAAAAATAAATATGTATGAAATGAAATTCTCCACACCATGAATATAACGGTTTTTCATATTTGTTTGTTATAACCAGGGCTAACAGAGTTATGTTTTTAAATGAAAAAATATTTATTTCCATATTTTCGCCTTTTTTCCTATAAATCCATATTTTACACAATTACTTGAATAAATCCATATTTTGAGCATTAAAGTGTCTGAAAACCTATAGAAAGATATGTTTGGCTCAAATATTATGAAATTTCTGTCGTTTGCCTTATACTCGATAATAAATAATGGAAACAAAACAAAACAAGATTCAGTATTTATTCCATATTTCATGCTTTCAGTTCTTATGTCTCTTAAATTCATTTTCATCATTTAAACACATATTGAGTGACAAACGCCGTAGTTTTGTTTTTACTAATCTGACACAACATGTCATATTGTTCTGCAATGATCTTTGAGACAAACGGCGCACGTTTGTTTGTAGCGATTTCTAATTGTTCATTGTCATAAAAAGTTAATATGATCGATATAATCGTCTACGTTTATCCATTTTTTTTTACCTATATTTATCCCTTTTTTCGTCTATGCTACCTATATTTATGCATTTTATTCCATATTTGTCAACTTTTTCGTCCATATTTCGTCCATATTTCTCTATTTTTTCGTCCATAAATCCATACATATTTTTACGTTTTTAAGAACATAACTCTGTTAGCCCTGGTTATAACATGTTTTTTTTTACAAACAAAGTCGAAAAAAAAGCGTTTTTTTTTAAACTTCAAATTTTTTAATGGAAAAATAATTTTTTTTAAATAAGAAATAATTCATGTTGTGCGCTGTACCTTTAAGTTTAATGTCCAATTGCTGTTTTTTGTTTAAGACGAGATCCTGGACCTGGAGACTGCACGGCGCAAAGTTCATCCCTCAAAAAACGACTCCACATTATTGATCATAAAAAGAATCGCTAAGATTCTCTTAATACCCTACTTGCAATCCACTCCCAAAGATACCCCTCATTTCAGGCCTTCTAATTGTATTTTCCCCCTTAAATTTCTAATATATATTTTTTTTCCTTTCTTTAAGTCTCGGAAATCTAAAGTTTTGGATTTGTATAAATATAGACAAGTCTGATAAATTAGTTCGCCAAAGAAATTTCACTTCTGACATGTGTACCTAGTACGCACGCACTTTTTCATTCTCTCGTATGGGAGCTATCCGATATAGTCGGCCAATCGGGACCGTTCCGACTTATATTATGCGTGCAAAAACTACGGAATTTTTGGGGAATTACATAGTTTACATAGAAACAGACAGGAGGACAGACGGACACACGGACAGACAAACACACGTATTTCGAATCCGATCGTGATGATGATCAAGAATATATATAATTTATGGGGTCTGAGGTGTCTCCTTCATTGCGTTACGAACTTCTGACTAAAATTGTAATACTTGACTAAAATTGTAATACCTCTGCAAGGGTATAAAAATTATGCTTGTTTGATAAAAACAACGATGATATCATTTTTTCGTTAATTCTATCTAGATTGTTCCATCTCTTCTATGACAGCTATATGACATAATTATCTGAGATGATCAAATTTAATTCGAAATTAAAAAGTAGTAAGAAAACACCATCTGGAAGAAATCAAGTCGATGTAAAACAAGAAAGGAAGCTAGCTTCGGCAATCCGAAGCTTATGTACCCTAGCAGTCATCAAATAAGTCGAACAAAAAACATAAAGGCTAACAAATTGTCGAAGCTATGACTATTTTTCAATATTCGTCTATAGTTTCGACGATTGTTCATAAGCTAGCTTTAAAACTGAGAGACTAGCTTACTTAAAACGGACAGGCGAATTTTCAGATTTTGATGCTGATAAAGAATATATATACTTTATGGAGTTCGGTGTGTCTCCTTCACTGGGTTGCAAACTTCTGACTGAAATTATAATATCCTTTCCAAGGGTTGTCAATCTTTTTCGAAAACTATCGATATTGATCGTTGTTTTGGGGATGGTTTTAACCCAAAATGTGATCCTAGATTCTCTGGAATTTACCTTTTTTTATAATTAAGAGAAATAATTTTGTTTTGGCTGTTTTACATCAGTACTTTATTAAAAAAAAAAAATTGTTTACAAAATGCGTTAAGTCTTTCTTTTTCGTAAAATGAAATGGTTTAAAGTGAAAAAAACGAACAGAGTTCTACTTAGCTGTAATCAGATCTCCGTTAAAGTAGATGAATTTTATTTCAAACGGCCCAGCTATTAAGAGTGTTTTTAGTACAAAATATTTTTATTTTAAAAAAGAAAACGGCAGTTCACGTGGACGAGCGTTCACTGCAGACGAAGACATTTGACGATTATTAACCATAGTCGGGTTAAACTGAACAAAATGTGTCTTTTCGTTAGATGCAACTGCGGCTGCTAGGTTTTTCGGGCCCACCATATAAAAATTACGTACTCGGGATTTTTCGTGTCGCATTAAATCTTTGTCCCTTAATGTATTTATTTGGGTGGCATTTACTCCAGATTTATGTTTTTTGGTATAAGATTTCCATTCGTTAACGATACCTGGTCGAACCCTAGCTGGGATCATATGTTCCTTTACGTTGAGTTCTTTAGTATTTAATACTTCGCAATCCACCTGCATTAACTTTATATCTCCGTTCAGACCAGAATTTTCTGAAGGTAATACCAACGACAATTTTGGTGGTGCACTGTTATTGTACTTCAGCGCTGGAAGCACTGTGTAATCCAGGTTAAAAGAAAGCACATAAAAAGAATCTTCTCTTCGCTTGATAGCATGCATCAAATTTATTTGTTCGCGCTTTTTGTCCAACCGTTTGCTTTTGTTGTGGGTAAGTTTACTGTTTTTTTCCTCTATATCAGAGGTGACATTATCAATATCATAATACATTTTAGGCTTCTTTTGTTTATTGTGCATTTTAGGATCAACGTAATCATTAGACAGTACAAGATCTGTTGGGTCAAATTTCTTGTTATTGAGACTTGATGATATGTTCAGAGTCCCACTTGTCCAGTTATGTAAATGTTGGGCTATCTTAAAATATTCCGATGGGTTAAAAGAAGACTTAGACGAATTACAACTTCCAGAACATATCGGTACTTTTTGATAGGCCAAAGGAGGAGGCTCCTGAGACATTTTAGACCTTGATAAGATTTTTGAACTGTTTTCTTTTATTGTTGAATTCAAAAAATAAAGAGGCGGAACGCTCGTTTCGTCTGATATATGTGTATATGGCAAACGTTTTTGGTTATGTTCTCTTTCTGATTCAACCCACAATAGTCGCCGACCGTGCAAATTTGGTTCTTTTACTTCGGTGTCTAACATGTTTCTGTATTCCCTTAAAGTCGGCTTGTTGAGAAATGACTGAAAATTGCCGACATTAAGAGTTACTATAAACGCCATGGCAAACAATAATGCTACGTTTTTCTTTACGCTTGCAGAAGTAAACATTTTGTTACGACAATTTGAATTCGTTATATTGCTTTTAAGAAAAGTTTCATTTGCATCAGAGCACAAAGCGTTTAGAAGAGAATTATTGGCATTTTCGGTTTCACATTTGCAGCATTTGGAAAACGCAATTAACTGATCGCGTAGTGATATGTTTTCCTGCGTTAAAAAAAATAATATTATGTTAATATTTTTAAAAAGCATGTCTTGAAATTAAACGATAGAGCATTTTTAAAATGTTATTTAAACAAAATTCTGAAGTATAGTTTATATACAAGAAACTATTAAGCCGCGTAAGAGAAAAACATTTGTGTTTAAAAAAAAATGATATAAAATAGTAACTCACGGAGTTAGTTTTTCAAGGTTATTATTGTTTGTTAATGACAATTTAAACCTTTTTCTATTATGACAGTTTAAATCAGTAAGCTATATATCTTACATATCCCTGATGTTATATGTAAGGAACAGTAATTGTTTTCCTTACAATTCTATTTCAAATTTGTTATTTATTTTCTAAATTTTTCTATGGTTGGTTAGTTTAATGCAGACCTAAGTATATAACTTTTTGACAACAAAGAAACTATATTGATTTTTGTTTTAATTTTCTTCAATTTCTCCTATTGTTCCTGTGGCAGCCATATAGCCCTCGGATTTTAACTAAATTTAATCTTGATTATTATATTAAAAAATACATTTAAAAAAGAGGTAGATTCTCCTGCATTAATAACGGTTTGACATAAAAATATGAAAAAAACAATTAAGGAAGCTAGATTCGGCAAGCCAAAGCTTATACACCTAAAGGCGAAACAACATCGATACTTTGCCGATTATTCTATACGTTTCTATATTTTCGACGACTGTTCATATAACAGCTATATGATAATGTTGTTTGATTTTTATGAAATTTATATCGAAATTCGAGAGTCATAAGGAAAATCTATATTGTAACAAAAAAGGAAGCTAGCTTCGACAAGCCGAAGCTTATATACCCTTGCAGTCATCGAATATGACAAACAAAATACATATTATTTCCGTTATTTCTATATAGATTTTTCGATCTTTCCTATGGCAATGATAACGTTGTCAGATTTTAATTATTATAAAACTTCATATTTTGAAGATCATGCTCGGCTTTATAATTTTTTTCCGTTATTTATATATATATTTTTTTTGATATTTTCTATGACAGCTATATGATAGAATTATCTGATTTTAATAAAATTTAATCCGAAATTCAATAGTAGTTAGAAAGCGCCATCTGAAGGAAATCAAGTCGATCTGATCAAAAACAACAGAGTAAGAATTTTTTATTTCATTCTCTCGTATGGGAGCTATCCGATATAGTCCGCCGATCCGGCCCGTTTTTACTTATATACTGCGTGCAAAACCTACACAACTTTTGGGAAAGTTTCAGTAAGATAGCTTTAAAAATTAGAGACCAGTTTGCGTAGAACCAAACATCACTTTTTTTTTAAAAACCAAAATGTTGAGAATAACGGAGTTACAGCGTTTTAAACGACCGAATTTGGACGTATTCTCACATATAAAAATACTTTGAATCGATTTTCCCGAAAACGTTAATTTAAAAGTCGGTGAACATCAGACCTTAAAATCCGATCCTTTTCAAATTTTTAACACAAATGCTTCACATAAATACGCAGGTACTCAGGAAGCGTTTTTTTTTAATTTTTAATTTTTTTATACTTTTAAAAAATAAATTAACAGCGATTTCTTGAGCTAAAATCGCTTTTTTCACTTCCAAGTGCTGCCAAAATTAGAAGAAATTTTTTTTTTAACTCTTCCTGATTACCTCGGGAAATTCATTATCTTTTCAACGCATATCACTTTTTATTTTTAAGATGATCCGTTAACGCCCTATGATGTTCACCGCAAAACAACAACAACACTTCATTTAACAATTTTCTTCATTCTCTCCTATGGAAGCTATTCAATATAGTCGCCTATATATACTGCGTGAAGTAACTTCACAACTTTTGGTAAAGTTTTAGCAAGATAGCTTTACAACTGAGAGACTAGTTTACATAAAAATGGACCAACGGACAGACAAGAATATATGTATATACTTTATGGGGTCTGATGTGTCTTAAACTTTTCCAAAGTTGTGTAGTTATTGCACACAGTAAATAGGTCGGAACAGGCCGGAACGGTCGACTACATAGGTTAGCTCCCATATCGACTTGAGTTTTTCGATATGGTGTTTTTTAAGCTAGTATTGAATTTCAAATTAAATTTTATTTACATTTTAGGAAAGTTCGAAAATGAGATATAGAAATAATGACTGTTTTTTTTATATACTTACTGCTTTTATGGAATCGTATTCTTTTTTAAGGTTAATTATTTGAGACTCCAATGAAACAACATACTCCTTTCTTTTTTTCGAGATAACGAAGCGGACTCTCGATTTTTTATCAAACGTTGGTGTTTTTTATACAATTTTTCGTCTATAATTGGAATATTGTAAAATTCAACTTTATTTCTAATATTTAAGTGCGACTTTTTCTCTTTTGTTTTAAAAGCATACAAAGTTTGCTCCTTTTTTCCATTGGGTTTATCCAATTCCATTGATTTTGTATTAGCTTTTTTCATGGTAACACTTGGAAATTTAGACCCTATTTTATCATTTATTTTGAAAGCACTTTTTTCAAGTTCTACATTTTGCATAAGCGATTTGTAGTCATCCGAAGATAATAAAATAGTCTTCGACATTGGTATTTCGGTTGCTGGCAATATATGGCTCTCCGCGTATTCAACTGGTTTGCAAAAGTTACTATCATGGTTTGATTTAATATCAATTTTATCCATGTCTTTTTTATACAAAAATTCAGATATATCGCTTTGTATCCCACTAGTCAAACTTCCACTTGAGCTGCTAAAACTTTCTGGATATGGTGAGTCCCGGTGAATACCTACATTTACAGTGTTCGGGGTTTCAGCAAAACATAAGGAATTTTGGTCCGAGAAAATAGGCGAGCCAGGGAATATTGGTTCTTTTTGAATATTAGACATAATTTCATCAAGGTCCAATGATGTATCAATTAAAGATACAGATGAGCTAATATTGTCGTAACAAACAATATTTTCATCGTAATTTTGAGATTTTACATCCAGCCACGACAAATCGTCTGAAAAGAAAAACAGATTTAATTCCATTAATTTATAAATTCCACAGACTAGATTTACACAGAAAAATTTTTTTCAATCGAAAACCCCTCAGATTGAAATTCTAAATCCGCCACTCATTCTTAGGTTAGCCCGACTCAATATGTTGAGAATATTGTGTACAAATTTTGAGATAATAAGAGTCAAACTAACGGAGTTACAGCGTTTTAAACGACCAAATTTGGACGTATTCTCACATATAAAAATACTTTGAATCGATTTTCCCGAAAACGTTAATTTAAAAGTCGGTGAACATCAGACCTTAAAATCTACTGAACCGATCCTTTTCAAATTTTTAACACAAATGCTTCACATAAATACGCAGATAATCAGGAAGTTTTTTAATTTTTCATTTTTTTCTGTTTTTAAAAAATAAATTAACGATTTTTTGAGCTAAAATCGCACTTTTCCTTTCCAAGTGCTACCAAAATGAGAAAAAAATATTTTTTTTTAACTCTTCCTGATTACTTCGGGAAATTCATTATCTTTACAACGCATAACAATTTTTATTTTTAAGACGATACGAGACTTTAAAACTTGAACAATAACATGTAATAATAAAACAAAACAAGAAAGGAAGGAAGGCAAGCCGAAGCTTATATCATGATATACCCTTGCAGTCATCAAATATGTCGAACAAAATGCATAAAGGCTAAACAACATCGAAGCTATAACGATTTTTCTATTCATTTTCCATATTTCCGACTATAGATCATATGGGAGCTATATGATATAGTTGTCCGATTTTGATCAAATTTAATTCGTAATTTAAGAGTCGTAAGAAAACTCTATATTTCAAAAATTATACTTCCGTTATTTCTATATAGATTTTTCGATCTTTCCTATGACAGCTATAAGATATAGTTGTCCGATTTTTATGAAACTTTTTTCTCAATATAAGAGTTGCTAAAAAACTTGATATTCAAAAAATCATGCTCATGGCATGATGCTCATGGCAACGATGTTATCAATTTATTTCCATTAATTCTATATATATTTTTTGATCTCTCCTCTGGCAGCTATACGATAGAGTTATCCGATTTTGAGTAAATTTAATCCGAAATTCAATAGTAGTTAGAAAACGCCATCTGGAAGAATTAAAGTGCATCATCAAAAACAACGGCCTGAGAATTTTTTATTTCATTCCCTCGTATTGGAGCTATCCGATATGGTCGGCCGATCCGGCTCGTTCCGACTTATATACTGCGTGCAATAACAACACACCTTTTGGGAAAGTTTCAGCAAGATAATTTCAAAACTGAGAGACTAGTTTACATAGAAACAGACAGACGGACAGACGTACAGACAGATTCACAGACCGATTTAGATCGTGATGCTGATCAAGAATACATATACTTTATGGGGTCTGAGGTGTCTCCTTCACTGCGTTGCAAACTTCTGACTGAAATTATAGTACCCTTTTGCTCTGCAAGGGTATAAAAATATATTAAGGTTAAACATTTCGATTTTTTTAATAGTGCGCCGATTATGTTAACTATTTTTGTTTGCCACGCCAGTTTTAATTTAACCAGTTCTCTCTGAAATAATCGCAGCATAAGAACTTCCGACCAATGGTGTAAAGCATAGACAGTCAAATAAACTTACTATAAAGGAAATCATCAATGTCCATGTTGAATTAGCTGACAAACGGACCAGCACTTCCACCACTCGACAGCCAATGATGCAGAAAAACAATGAACACCTCTTTATTCAGACGACGGCAGCAACTAAAGCGATGGTAGTTTGAAATTTGTTATAATGTACTATCGGTAGGGATCTTTGTAATAAGCTTTTCACATTATGCGGCCATTATACAGTCATATTAATATGTAGATGTATAATGAATTATGCCGCGAAGGTTTCTCACCGACCAAAATTTGTGGTATAGCCGCATATTAGGTAATCATTAAAAAAAGTTTAAGATTATGTAAAACAGTATTAATCGACCAATTTTGGCGGATCGGTAAATTTTCCTGTAAAACCGAACTTTGGGGACTTTTGCTAAAAATGGGTGAGGAAATCTTTTGTTTTTAAAAAGCTACTCTGGGGCCTAAGCATCAATAAAAAGGTTGCGGAAAGCGTGGTTTCCAATAAAAAATTTTAAATAATAATAATTAATTGCCACACTCAGACTCAATTCTTATGTAATCTCATCACATCTGATCACAGTTGATAGAAGTGGTTCGCAGTGACAGATACCATACTTTTCTTAACTCATTCGATATTTATTAAAAAAGTCAATTTAAAAAAAAAATTAAAAAATAATTTTTTTAAAACTTTTTCCCTCGTCTTGAAAACTAACATTTTTGGATGCAAAAAGTTTCTTTAAACAAAAGTAATAGTAACTGCAAAAAGAATTTTTCAAAAATAATTTTTCTTTTATTTTTTATAATTTTTTGAAAATGCTTAGAAATACGCATTTAAGCCATATTTTTCTCTTTTCCATACAAATTTTTTCCGACATTGTCACCTTCGAAAAATCATAAAAAATAAAAGAAAAATTATTTTTGCAAAATTCTTTTTGCAGTTACTATTACACTGTGCGACAAAATTTAACGAAATGTTTGTTTGAGTTACTTTTTTGATTGTTTTCGGTTAAGGGGCATAAGTTATGCACAAAAATATTTATGCCACCTTCTAAGTGATAGGATTTCTTTTTTTATGATAAATTTTATGAAATTATTATTATGAAAATATTTAACACAAAATATTATTTTTTTTTTACTTCCAATAAACTATTATTTTTTTTTAAAGTGAATTTTTTTCCAGATTTTTTTGGCTTTTTCAGAGGTATCCTCGCGTAACAAGTTCCATACGCAGTCGCCCAGAGTATAAAGCTGGGAGAAAAAAATTTTAAAGCATTGTTATAAAAGCCTAACGGTATATTTTCTTAATACATTTTAATTAATAGATATTGAACTTGCATAAAACGCTTATAACGGTGAAAAAATATTTTCCCAATATGGTATTATAAGGCTGTGAAATATGCAAAAACACGCGTTTTTGGGACCTTTGAGTGTGCGTAGAAGCTGATTGGCTATTGATATTAACAAATCCAAAAACTTGTATTCTTATTTTGACTAGTAGAAGTGAAAAATAAGAAAAAATCAACTCAAACATTTTTTTGTCGCACAGTGTTATTGAAGTGAAACTTCTTTATCGGCGTTGGAAAAAATTTATCGTCACATTTTTTTTGGTTACGCGTCACATTTCCCGGTTACGCGTCACATTTCTCGGTTACGCGTCACATTTTTCGGTTACGCGACACATCCCCATCCCTCTCTAACCACTGACGAACGATCTCTCTATCTTCTTCTATCCTCTCTCGCTCTCAGCGCGCTCGCACAAAGTTGAGAGCGTAAAAATTTAAAAATAGAATACGGTTGCGTGAGTGAGAACAAGTACCCAGCGGGAAAGTGAGAAGTAGGTTTTTAGAAGTAGGTTTTCGGTTTTAAGTCTACTGGAAATCCTGCTGCTTTTAGCAGGCGTAGGGGTAGGAGTTGAAAATTTCGGTCCGCTAAATAAGGGTGGGTTTCTGAAACCTGTGGATTTTTACATAGAAACCTCCTTTACCCCTTCCTTTTGTGTGTCACCCCCGTGTATTTTGAAAGGAGAGACAGCAAAAATGTAAGGGGTGAAGGAGGTTTTTGCCCTTCCGCTTGTATGAAGAAATCTCTGGAAAATAGCATATCTTCCACATCTCTTTTCCCGCTGGGTAAGTGCGTATGTATGTATGTATGCTTACTTGAGCAAGAAGACGATTTTTAAGCCGAAATCCTTTCTGTGCCAAAACGAATTAATTTCCAGCAGTAGAAAAAAAGGGTGAGAGGTGTGAGTGTCAAAAGAAATTCTAATTGAACGGGTTGTATACAGATATTAACAGTTTAATTGATGTATTAGCTTATTACAGCTTAACTATGCATTAACTATTTTTGATTGGCACCTTAATTCTTAACCATTTTTTTTCATCAGAGAAGCATAATTTTTGGAACATAGAGTTTTCTAACCACTCTTGAATTACGAATTAAATTTTATTGAAATCGTATAACCATGTCATATAGCTGCCATATAAACAATAGTCGAAAATATGGAAAATTAATAGGAAAATCGTCATAGCTTCGATGTTGTATTTTGTTCGACATATGTAAATACATATGTATTTGATGACTGCAAGGGTATATATGTACATAGGCTTCTTTTCTTGTTTAAAAATAATATAGTAAAATCTCAGATGTTGAATATTAAATTAAATTCCTCGTGATTTTTTGTTAATAGTAAAAATACCTGACCTCAATATAAATTTATACAAAATCATTGTAAATTAATGATAACTATAAAAGTTCCAGATTTTAACTTATAATTGTTAAAGTTGCGCTTTGGGGGCTTTTGCTAAAAATGGGCTAGGAAATTTATTCTTTTTTAAAAATGCTACCTTGTTATTTGTTAAAATAGCTGCGAGACAACCCGTTTTTAGAACATTGACATGTTTTTCAAGCGAAAAACTTTACCGGAAAGAATTTATTGTCTTCTCAGATGTTTTTACTATATTATTATACTCTTGCAGAGCAAAGGGTATTATAATATCTGTCAGAAGTTTGCAACGCAGTGAAGGAGACACCTTAGACCCAATAAAGTATACATACATATTCTTGATCAGCATCACGATCAGAATCGAAATACGAATGTACGTCTGTCCGTCTGTCTGTTCCTATGTAAAGTAGTCTCTCAGTTTTAAAGCTATCTTGCTAAAACTTTCCCAAAAGGTGTGTAGTTATTGCACGCAGTATATAAGTCGGAACGGGCAGGACCGGTCGACTATATCTGATAGCTCCCATACGAGAGAATGAAATAAAAAATTCTCATGCTGTTGTTTTTGATCAGATCGGCTTGATTTCTTCAAGATGGCGTTTTCTAACTACTATTGAATTTCGGATTAAATTTTATCAAAATCGGATAACTCTTTCATATAGCTGCCATAGAAGAGATCAAAAAATATATATAGAATTAATGGAAATAAATTGATAACATCGTTGTTTTTTATCCCACGAGCATAATTTTTTGAATATCACGTTTTTTAATAGCCCTTAAGTTGAGAAAAGAGTTTCATGAAAATCGAACAACTATATCTTATAGCTGTCATAGGAAAGATCAAAAAATTATATAAAAATAACGGATAAGCTCCAAAAATCAGAATATAAAGTTTTCCCACGACTCTCGAATTACGAATTAAATTTGATCATATATGTAGCTGCCATATGATCTATAGACAAAAAATATGGAAAATGAATAGAAAAATCGTCCTAGCTTCGTTGTTGTTCAGCCTTTATGCGTTTTGTTCGACATATTTGATGACTGCAAGAGTATTCGGCAAGCCGAAGCTAGCTTATTTTCTTGTTTTTAAAAACAATACTCATAGGAAACGTGTCGAATAGTGTAAATATTGAAGAAATAAATTTAAAAAACTAAATTTATAATTTATGTATATTAATTTTCAACACTTTTAATATTTTAATGAAAATTAAAATCCTAACATTTCTTTCTTTTTCCCTTTCTTTAAGTCTCGGAAATCTAAAGTTTAAGTTTTTTATAAATATAGACAAGACTGATAAATTAGTTCGCCAAAGAAGTTTCACTTCTGACATGTGTACTTTGTACGCACACACTTTTTTTTTGTTTAAAGAAACTTTTTGCATCCAAAAATGTTAGTTTTCAAGACGAGGGAAAAATTTGTTTTTTTATAATTTTTTTTTTTCAAAATTGCTCTTTTCAATAAATATCGAATGAGTTAAGAAAAGTATGGTATCATTCAAACGGCATTTAAATTACCTTTCCATTGATACCAAAAGTTAAAAGAAGCAAGTTCAAGTTTCGAGTATATTTCACTTTGATTATTGTCAAAATATATATGCCGACCAGTGTACTTACTTCGGAGACAGTCCCTCCCCTGTAATGGATGTCACTACATGACAAGTTTTATTTCAAAATATGGGTGAACAGAACCAGATAGAAATATTCCAAAGTTTACCTCTCTTTCTCTCTCTACTAATAGGGTTCTTTGTTTGCAATCGTATTGCGTATCCGTAATACTTTGCTAGAACCAAAAATGTGAGTTTTCGGTGAGAAAACGGTTTTGAGGAAGTACCGATATATGCATACTCATGGGCTTTTAATTTAATGTACTTCAATTAACCCGTTTTTTCACGTTAAAAAAAAATGTTATTTTTTTGAACTAGTAACAACATGATTTTTTAGTACGAAATAAATTTAACAAATATACATATCTGCATTTGTGCAAAGAGCAGCGGGAAATGTTTAAAAATCATGAAAGTGCCGATAAGATTATAAATAATAGTATTTTAGGTATAAACATATTAAAGATTCGGCTAAAAGTCCAAAATATCCCTATGAAAAGTAACTTTTTTTTTTACCATTTAAAAGGAGGCGGGTACAAAATAGCCGCGGCACGCCCGACAATTATTCATTAGAAGCCACTTTCAGTTGTAATCAATTATAAAAGGGTAAACAAACACGTTCGAATTTCGTCCAATTTATCCACTTATTTTTTGGCAGTTACATGATATTAATATATTGATCTATGTATATCAGGACCAACGACTGAAAAGAAATTGGTAATAAAAAATGACGCATAATAAGAAATTTTGTACATGTTCAGAAAAGCTGCTCTTCTGAAAAAATGGTCAAGTTATACCGGGAAATGCCTTGAAATGTGTGTTAAATCTAC